TCGCTTTCTGTATGTCCAAAACCAAACAATTCAGTAAAAGCAGAATGACCGCGATTTCCGTTTTGGCGCTTTGCTTTCGTGGCTGTCACCTTCCAACAGCCGTACACAAAACAGCAACTCGATGATGCAAGTATACCCGGGTTCAGAAGGGAAAAAAAAGACAGTGTGAACACAAACCAGCCAGGAAGGTGGCAAGGGGGGACAATCAAACTTGGGTTCAGTCCAGGTTGAACCAAGTGTAAAATCACCCTTAATAAAACTGCAACTGGATCTTCAAATCTGTTGTCCAGCATCACTTTACGTTACAGTAACACTCCAGTTTTTTTCAATGAGTGCCCTAAAATAGGTTAAAGGTTATAGCACAAAAACATCAAATATTCAGCTCTAACAAATGTAGACTAGACTGTTTTATCAAATGACAAAATAAAAAAAACTTGATCTGCACAGAGTACAGCCAACAGACAACTAGAGCGTGCATTTTGAACCAAATGAGAGTAAATAATTTATAAGAAAGTTTCTGTAGTCTACATTTATTATTGGAAAAGGCAAACCAGCACTGTAGCAGAGCTTGTTTGCTGCTTTGAATATGAATCACGTTGATCACTTTCATCATTCCAGAGCAAGTTTGTTCTGAAAAGATTTGCGTTGCGGAATGCTCAGATGTTTGCTTTCATCTCTTTAGCTTTTCTTCTTGCGCACTTGTTTGCTAAGATGAACAGCTAATCAGAGTTATCTCTCTCTCTCTATCTCTCTGTTCAAAGAACTGAAAAAGCCAACAACACGGTCTGAATAGTGTCGACAATGTGGAACATGCTGGAAAAACTGAGCCAGTAGATACTTTTTTGGTGGTTTGCTATTTGCTTGTCTTCTGCTTGTTGTGTCACAGTCCTAACACCTCCATGAAATTCAAACTGATTTTTTTTTGGCTTTTATCTTGAATATAAAGGTTATAAATAATTGTGGTTCTTAACTGGTTTGGCCATGGCACTCATAATATGCCATAATCATTAAGCTAAGACTAATTTATAGAGATGAAGGCAAGATTATTAGACCTCTTGTGAAAAATGTATTCTTTTTAAAATAATTCTCAAGCACTGGGAAGACATTTTTAAACACTATTTTTAATAACTCATTTCTAATTACTAATTGCTTTTTCTGTACCATGATGACATTACATAATATTTTGTTCTGCTAATTTGGCAATAAACTAGTATGAGTTTCAGCTTAATGTGCAATTTAACTCTGTTAATTAGGCAAGTTTGACAAGTTTTAATGAATTATATTATTAGACTATTATTTTTTTATCCACTGAATGGATAAAAAAAAATGGTTCAAGTCAACTGTTTGACTCTAGGAGACTTAATTTGTTTTTGGAAAAAGGTTGATTTTACAGAACAAGTCTCCTATAGAGTTAGATAAACTAAATGTGGAATTCATTAACTCAATTTTTTTGTTCTGACGGTGTCATTTTAGCTTAGCTTAGCATAATAATTGAATCGAATTAGACCATTAGCATTTTGTCCAATTAAAATGTAAAAAAATGTTTTGGTAATTTTCCTATTAAAATTTTCCTATTTCGGTGTCACTTTTAGCGTAGCTTAGCATAATTCATTGAATTGAATTAGACCATTAGCATTTTGTTCAATAAGAATGTAAAAAAAAATGTTTTGATAATTTTCCTATTTAAAGCTCGACAGACGAAAAAGGAAAAGTAAGCATTTATGGTCTACTTTGATTCAATTAATTTTGCTAAGCTAAGCTAAGCTAAAAGTAACCATGCCAGAACAAGAAATCGGCTGAATGGATTTAAAATGGTTCAAGTCATCTGTTTAACTCTAGGAGACTTCCAAAATAAGCATTTTTTAAAAGGAAGTGTTCCTTTAAGGATGATATAAAATTCCTCTAATGCTTTCTTTAATTTCTACAGTTACTAGGAAAGACTTCTTTGTTGGAAAACGGGTTAAAAGTCAATCAAAATTTTATGAATGAATGCGTCATGACACATTTGATAAATTACCGACACACTGACTGCAGCATTCACTGAGGAAGCGCATAATGTAACTTCAAAAGGCACCGGCACAGTTATGTACAGTCTGTTACTGTAGGTTTGTAATGTCTGGCTACAGGATCATCATTGTTAGCAGCGGTTGAACTTGAGGTCAGCGTGTCACAGCTGTAAGGAGAGATGTCTCCCATTGCCCTGAAGTTGCATCTTTTCGCTCACACAAGAGCAGCTTTGAATGACGAGAGCGTTTTGTCTGAAAGCCGCCATTGATTGAACTGTCTGAAAGCATTAGGACAGCCAGCTTAGTACTTCTCTTATCTGCACACTTATTAGATCTAATGATGTTTCCTCTCTGGAAAAAATAGGATGAACGAGTATCGAGTCTGATGACTTCATAGGGCATTCATTGATGTCTGCGCTGGCTAATAATGAATAAAGGGATTTTTTTTTCTTCGGAAATAAGAATTGCTGAGGCATTTACACCCCTTGGGTCACAAATCATTGTGACAGTTGGAAAATGGAGACTGAAAACCAGTCACTGACTGAGTGAGTGCACTGTCATTGCAAGCATTCATATAAATCACTGTAGTGTGCAGATCATTGTAAAATTTCACAAACACTTTTCTAACTAATAATCCATGTTGAAATGAAGCAAGTATTACAGAACTTATAAGGTTTGGAATACCTTTTATAATGCTTACAAGTTGTAAAACAACTAACAAGTTTTGCAATACACTGTAAAAATGCTAGATTTCAATTAATCAATTTGTAATCACAGCCATATCACCCTGCATCCCAGGGTTACTCACTGTAGCTAAGTAGTGCTGGTCAGTACCTAGATAAAAGACTGCATGGGAAAACTAGGTTGCTGTTGAAAGTGGTGTTAGTGATGCCAGCAGGGGGTGCTCAAGCCGCAGTCTGTGTGAGTCCTAATGCCCCAATATAGTGAAGGGGACACTATACTGTCAGTAAGCGCTCTCTTTTTGATATACGTTAAGCCGCTGTTTTCACCCTCTGAGGTCATTAAAAATCCCATGGCATTTCTTGTGAAGAGTTGGGGTGTAACCCCGGTGTCCTGGCCAAATTTCTTTCTTCGGCCTTTACCCATCATGGTCTTCTAATCATCTCCATCCACTGAATCGGCTCTATCACTGTCTCTCTACTCCACCTAGCTGGTGTGGTGAGCACACTGGCACTGTTATCCTGTGGCTGCCGTCACATCATCCAAATGGATGCTGCACACTGTTTTTATCATTAATCAAACAACAAAAGGACAAAATCACTCACTGCTCTTGAGTGAAGGACTTTTTTAAAGTAGTTAACAGGGCCGGAGCAAGCTGAACTGGCGATTTAGGCGAACAACGATCACGCTGCACTCGACACGAAAGTGAAAAATAAAGTGACTGATATGCCAATGAAAGTGACGATCCTGAGGGAGAGGGTGGGTGTCGTAGTGAGGACTGGGGGGTTCGCAGATACCACCCTTAAGATTCTGCCACCCTAGGTCTGTCTAGGTCGCATCTATGGATGCGCTGACCCTTGTAGTTAACTCACTAACACCACAGTACATACTAACAGTGTTATTCAGACACCTCACCCCAGAACCTGAGCCCCCCAGTCTCCCGGATTTTTTTGTGTGTGCATGAGTGCATTAAAGCAGTGCAGTTAATCACCAGCTTATATGGCTCCATTCATTACAATGACACATGACACACATTCAGTCTTAATCTACACTGACTCTTCACAGTTTCATCTTTGGGTAGAGAAAATAACACTAACTTTCCCTCACATTTCCAATAATATCCAGTCTTCATGACTCATGACTTCAGGATCTGTTTGTCTTCCCCTTTTCCTTTGCTACTGTGTTTGTGGGCGGGACTGCAGGTTTAAATTTTCCCGGGTTTGCGTGCGCAACAATTGGGCAGGGCGTATGTTTTGTATCCACATCACACCGAAACAGCTAAAGACTTGTTATTAAAACGATTCATTTGAAGCACTATGCGTCGACTCGTTTATAGATGAATCAAGTTTTAAACACTGTGCACTTTCAGATTTAAGCCTTAGCTGGGTATTTCACTTCACTTAGAGCTGTGTTACACACTACTGTACATGGAAGGTCATTTTCAAAAACCCATAATAGGTTTAAAATCCTTTTTTCCTTTTAAATCCTTTAATTCTTTTTCATATGTAAAGATATTTGAGTATTGCTGTACATTTTGCGTGTTTTAAGCAATGTGTAAGCGTTTAAGGAGCACAACCAACGTGCTCTTTGCTGAACAATCTATTTTAGTTTCTCAAAATAGCAACACCCAACAATACACCTTAGCACACCTCTTTTCTAGACCAGAACACCCATGAGTCCACAAAGTGGTGCAAATAGATTTACTATTTAAACAATGTGGCACAAAGCGGGAAAATTACTGTTGCGCTGGTCTGAAAATATGTCGTGTCAAACACGTCTTGCGCCTTATTGCACCGGGGGTATGACAGGGCCCATGAAGTCTCCAAGCATTTGGTGCTGTTATGAACAACTGCCAAAACAATGTGAATATTCTTAAAAAGTGATCTAAAAATAATAAATAATTATTTGCAGTATTTTGTAGTGACAACGGTATCGATATTGTGCATGTTTATCACAACATATTCAATTATTGAATATCATACATCGTTGTTTATGGATTTAGATTTAATTTATAAATCTATTTAGCGTTACCCATCTAAACATAGCTTAATTGCCTTATCTACTGCAAGACCAGTGGTGGATTTGTATAATGCGAGCACTTAACTTTGCAGCAAATGTGATGCTGTCGTTGATATGCAGTATATCATGTGTCCTCAAGCCGTAAAGTGCAGCTGTGAGTGAATGAAGATGAATAAACTGTTGTATCAGACATTCTTCACTAGTGACCTCAGTAAATCAGCTCCGTCTCCTACTGCTGACCATAAGATTTCTCCTATACTCAAGCGTGTGATATTTAATCTGTGTGTCCCGCAGGTAATGATCTGTTCCTGGTAGCCGTTCATGAGCTGGGCCATGCCCTTGGACTGGAACACTCCAATAATCCTTTGGCTATCATGGCGCCTTTCTACCAGTGGATGGACACGGAAAACTTTGAGCTGCCTGAAGATGATCTCCGCGGAGTCCAGCAGATTTACGGTAACCTGATGATTGTGAAGCTCATAACTCATTCATTCATTCATTTTCTTTTCGGCTTAGTCTCTTTATTAATCTGGGGTCGCCACGGACATAGCGCTAAAGTCCAGCATCTTTACATTGGCACACTGACTTGAATAGTGTGGCTAATAGGCGGCGCTATTGACGCATGATCAGGGTCCGTATGCGATATCTAGTGTATATATCTATGAGCAATTAGGTATAAATTAGTAATTAGAAACTAGGGTAACACTTTTTATTTTGATGGTCCGTTTGAGTATTAGTAGACTCTCTGCTTAATTTCTGTTGATATGCTTCTTCAACAGACATTTAACTGACTATAAGAAACTTTGCAACTTACACTAACCCTATATAAATAATTCTGACTTCAACTATACATTCAATGAACTGATTGTATGTTACAATACAGTATGAGTGTGTTATAATGTATTATGAGAGCTAAAATAGTCTAAAGAAGTGTTTAGTCAAAACTATGGCATAGTGTTGAATACATTGATACATTGTGCATTTGTTCAGGTCTGGTGCTTTTCATTTACAAACCCTGTTCATTGTTTGTCTCCTTATCAGCTGCTTTATCATCAGTAAGAGCCAGCAGAAACTGTTTAAAGATTTACAGCTTTATATTTTGTTTTGTTTGCTGTTAGTTTCCTGGTTAATGTGGTTATCATAAACACGTGCTGTTGTAAAAACTTTATTTTGTTTGTTTAAATGCAGTAAGCAGTTTTTTAGGGAGTAGGTCAGTTTACTTTGCCTGGCCATTTTCCTTTGAAATAATCTGGTCTTTGTGGACTCAGTAATGTTTATTTAAGTTTGGCATGAGGGACATAAAGCCGTGAGGGAGCAGTAGAAGCACTTTACATGAAGCTTTGATTGTGACATGGCAGTTTATTTATCGTTTCACTTATTGGCACCATTGTTATTGAGCATACTTTGTTGATCGAATTTATTTTTTAAGTAATGAAAGGAAAGAAATTTGGTAATTTATGACAGTCAAACTTTTTTTTCCCAATTTTTTATTCTTTTATTATTGGTTTTAATAGAATTTTACTATTATGATTACTCATAAACTATAATGACTGTGTATTTTAATGAATACTTTTATTTAAATGTTTGTAATTTAAAGATTTTTAAAGGTTTTATTTAAATTAATTTAAAGATGTTAATTTTAATTTAATTATTTCAAGATATAAAATTTTATTTAATTTAAGGTAAAGATGTACAATTTAATTTACCGATGTACATTTGATTGTATGTAAAGATGTACAATGTAATTTAATTTAAAGATGTACAATTTAATTTAATTTAATTTGAAGATGTACAATTTGATTTAATTTAATGTTAAGATATTAATTTAACTTAATTTAGCTTAATTGAATTTATTTTATTTTAATTTTATTTCAATTTTTATGTACAATTTAATGTAAAGATGTGCAATTTAATTTAATTTAAAGATGTACAATTCGATTTAATTTAATTTATTTTAATTTTAAGATGTACAATTTAATTTCATTTAGCATAATTTAATTTATTTTATTTTTATTTTATTTATTTACAATTTAATTTAAAGATGTACAATTAAATTTAATTTAAAGATCTAAAAAATTAATTTAATTTAATTTAATTTAATTTAATTTAATTTAATTTAATTTAATTTAATTTAATTTAATTTAATTTAATTTAATTTAATTTAATTTAAAGATGTTAAAATTTAATTTAATTTAATTTAATTTAATTTAATTTAATTTAATTTAATTTAATTTAATTTAATTTAATTTAATTTAATTTAATTTAAAAAAAAAAAAATTAAGTTTGCTAGAATGTGACCACAAACCCAGGCATAAGTCTTTATTAAATTGTGAAATTGTGTTGTTGACATTATTAATTGAAGTTCTGATATATTTACTCTAGATATGATCTTTATTTAATATTGTAATGATTTTTGCAATGTAAAAAAATACAATGCATATTTACCTAATGCCAAAAATACACCTGTGCAACTTAGGACTTGCTTTGTGGTCCAGGATCACTAATGCCACATTTTTTATTGCTGCAAAAAGTAATTAGTTATTGTTTGTCCCACTCTTTCTCATAGGACCCCCGAGCAGCTCTCCGACCCAGGCTCTGCCCACTGTGACCCCGCGACGTCCGGCTCATCCAGACCCCAGAGCTCCTAATCCTCCTAAAAGTCCTCCAGGAGCACCTCCTCGCCGGCCGGACAAGCCTCGCACCACTGACCGCCCGGATCACTACGGCCCCAACATCTGTGAGGGCAATTTCGACACTGTCACCATGCTCAGGGGAGAGATGTTTGTTTTTAAGGTGAGACCCTCGCTATCTAAAAACTTGTTTAGTTTTAGACTATTTAAAGCCATATTATGGCATTTTCACCACTAGAGGGTGCGTATTCACAACAAACAAATGTGTAGTTTAAGTTTATGAGAGTGAAATGATGGGAGTTGTGATCTTCATTTCATCCATACTCACAGCTGTGATCGTGTGAAGAAGAAGCAGCACTGTTTTATTAAACTAAATAGATTTTAGGCTTCTGTTTTAATGCTGCTTTATTGAGTGTAATAAAACACACAATAAAATAAAGCTTCTTTATATTATATATTACATGTTTTCGATAATACCAAGCATGAATATCCATATTACACAAAATCTGCAGAGACTCACGTCTGGTCTGAGCCCCTCCCCATTTTTAGTCTATGGTAATCAGTAATTGGCTCCTGTACTAAAAGGCGGGGTTTTACACAATATAGCCATTGATGATTGGCTCCTGTACTAGTAGGCGAGGCTTTATTCACCATATTGACCGTTAAACATTTCCCCATTCAAAAAAATACGATTAACTAGTCTTGTGTATTCTGGAACGTAGGTTTGCACTTGACATTGGTGGGGACGGTTGAATAAAACAATATAATAATAATAGGCCTGTCAAATGGTTAAAAAAATGAACGTAATTAATCAAACATTTTTCTGTAATTAATCATGATTAATGCCATACACAGGCTGTATTTTTTTCTGACAAATTGCTTCAACTGAATTTGGACATGCTACTCTGAGAGATTTGGAGAACTGGCTGGGATCATTTACTTTAACGTTAGCTGTTTATTCTGCAGTTAGTTTTCCGGGCACAGCCTATATCAGTCAGCTATATAGCGAAAGACTGTGTGCGACGAGCATTAACGGCATTATCTTGACGGACTCATTCAATAGCAAACTTGCATTTACAGTTTGTGACTTACACTTTCGTTGAAAAAAAAAGGACTTTATGTCCACCTTTTTTTGCTGCCGTCATCCTCACTTGTGTATCACCCAACACACCATACTCTAGCATGGGATAAAAACAGTCCACTGCATTTGGCGCTGCTTGTATCTAAAGACAGCCACAGCCTCTCACATGATAGCAGGAAAAGGCACAGCCAATCAAAATGTCCAAATCCGTTTTGGGGGGTGGGAGGACTCAAGGAGAGAACGTGATTGAACCATTTCTGCGTGTCTAGGTTGATGTTGACAGCGCAATTTTTTTTAAAATTTATTTATTTATTTTTTAATTTGGATTAAATTATTGATGGGGACATTTCTATGGTCGGTGATATTGGTGGGGACGTGTTGCCTCCGTCCACCCTAAATCTACGCCCCTGTGTGTATTCTATAGTCTTTGGACACGGTCTGTCTCAGTTGTAATTGCTTTCCGGATTTGAACATTCTTTGAAACATTTGGCATAATGCAAGTATATTTGCCAGCACACTGTATAACATTGCTCGAGTAGTTTTTAGATATTCTAATGAACTAATTTGCATACATTTAATTAGTTATGAATAAAAGCCCTCAGATTTGTCTCATTTTAAATTTCATACTGATAATGATTGGTGAGGAATGATGCAGGACAACAACTAAAATGCAAGGTATTGGGATAAATGTTTTTTTTTCTCTCATATTTGTGTCATATGATATAGTTAAGCAATATCACATGAAGAACAAGTACAGTATCACACGAGGGATGTTTATGTCCTGCACAGCACGAGTGCAAACAGGATACTGGAGCTACAGTAAATGATTCAATGAACCAATGAGCTATTCATATACTTCATTGCTGAATACAACAATTTGTTCAAAAGAATCAACTAAATAAATAACTCCGAGGCTGACTGTTTAGATATGTACACTATACCTTCTGGCTGTTTTAGGTTCTTTTTAATTTCATTAATCAAAATAAGTCATATTTTTCTATTAATAACAATGGTTAAAAATATAAAGGGATAGTTTACTAGTTTACTCCCACATTTAATCATCAATCATCATTATCATATTCCTAAAAGTATTTCGTTAAGTAAATGTTTACTAGACACTTTTTAAATTCACAGTAACAGGAATGACTTAAAAGTTTAGTAACACTTTAGTTTGTGACAGTTCACGCTGTTAAGTATTGGCTTATTACTTGGGCCAGATGGAATCTGCCGACATTTTTTTCTATTTCTGCGCAGAATTTTGTTAAAAATCTATTTTATCTGTATTTTAATGCAAATCCAATTAGATCAGACTTAGATTAGACTTTATTTAATAAACAAAGCAAGTCTTATATATGATAAATCTACTGAAAGTGACTTTACAAACTGTATTGTGAATGAACTATATTAACATTTTATATTAGTCAATATTATTACTGAAATTAATTTAAAAACTGAATAAATATAAATTTACACACATTTACAAACGTAAATAAACAGAATCAATGATGGGCCAAAAATCTGCGGAAATCTGCAGAATTCTTTGTGCGCAGATTCCGTGTGGGCCTACTTATTACTTGTGTATCATTAAGATATTAACAATATATTAGTAGCTATAAAGTATTTTGCATCCCTATATTCAAAACCTAAACCCTACTACTACTATAATAACTATTAATAAGCAGATAATGAGCAGGTTGTTGAGCTAAAAGTCTTAGTTAATTGTTTGTTGATATCATGAATTGTGACTTAAAAATAAAGTGTTAATTGGGGATAATTTCTCAGTCAAACAGAATTCCCACAGGTCATGAAATTTTTGGAATATCATAGAACTTTAAAAGGTTCATTCGAGATATTTCAGATTTTATTTCATGGAAAGTCATGGAATATAATGGATTTTCATTTGCTGTTTTAAATGTTTGTTTCCATTTAAAGATTTTTTTTTGCATTGTTTTTACATGGTTTGGTTTCGTATAGTTTTTCAGCTCTATTTTATTCCTTACATGCAATCATTTAAGTCAAATGCAGTTACCAGACTGTACCTGTTAATTAAGGCTAACATATCTGGATAATACTCAATTTAACACTTTGGCTTAAAAATGAACAGTTTAAAAAAACCTAAAAAGCTTGACTGGGTGTGAAAAAGCAAAATTTTTAACTTTTAAAAGCTTTCAAGCTATCGAATATGGGAAAAGGAGCACTTATCAGCCATGCAAACATTAACTAATGATGACTGATAACAAAGAGTTGGATCCAAATGCAGCTTTATTAAAGAGTAGTCTGGCAGGCAAGGGTAATACTGGAGCAAATGGTAGCATAAGGGGATTAAACAAAAAGAGTAGTCATTGTAACGGGTAAAGAGGTTGAAGCAAGCATCAAAGCAAACCTAAACAGTAAACAAACAAGAGGACAAACACATGGCGATAGGTTATATGCTGAAGGTTGCCTTAAGGATTTTTTATTTGTCAGTAACTTGGGTTAAGCACTTCCGGTAAACTGTATGCCATTGCAAAATCGGCACATTTAAGATATGTTTTCTTTAAAGATCAGCAATCTCCACTGGCTAAGTGATATCCGTTATAAAGTGGGTCTTAGATTGTACAAGAAGCACCGCATTAAATTACATTTTCCCCCGCCATGTCTTTATAATATGAGCATTTATTTTACTCCAGTACATTCAATGGAGCTTCTGCGCTAGCCTGCCGATTCTGATGGGTGCGTGCGAGTAAACATTTTTTTCTATTGTTTTACGCTTGAGCAACTAAATGAATACCAAAGTCTATTTAACTGATTGTATTTTCATTTCATTACAACATCGATGCTGTAAACCGAACTGTATAAAATGGAAAAAAGTCTCAAAAACCGGTCACCGGAAGTTTATCAGTATGGGAAGAAACACAAGCTCCGCATATACCCTATACAACACAGGAAAACTCTTCGCAGTTCTCACTACAGATAACAAGACTCCACCCTGGAAGTGTGTGTGAATGGTGTCTGCATAGCCAAGAGGTGCCCAAGCTTAGTCCTCGAGGGCCGATGTCCTGCAGATATTAGCTCTAACTTATCTCAACACATCTGCGGATATGTTTCTAGACAGCCTAGTAAGTGATTGATGTGTCTGGTTGGGTTGGAACTAAACTTTGCAGGACACCAGTCCCACAGGAGTTTGGGCACCCCTGATATAGCCCATGTAATTGGTGGTGATGAACAGTAGCTGTGTTTATGTAATCAGGAGGTGAGCTGAAACTGGTGTGTGACTGCAAGGCACAATGGGATATGTAGTTCGGATCAGTGGCAAATGTGATATGATTTGTCACACTCTAGAGGGTATTCAGCTTGGTGACCATGACAATAACTATCTATTGTTGCTCTTATAGTGATTATTCAAGTCCTGCAAAATCATATTTAAGCTAAGCCATTTTAATATTATGTAAGTACAGTTGAAGTCAGAATTATTAGCCCCCTTTTGATTTTTTATTCTTTTTTAAATATTTCCCAAATTATTTTTTAACAGAGCAAGGAAATTTTCACAGTATGTCTGATAATATTTTTTCTTCTGGAGAAAGTCTTATTTGTTTTATTTTGGCTAGAATAAAAGCAGTTATTATAAAAAAAAAAACATGTTTATGTCAAAATTATTAGCCCCTTTAAGCTAATTTTTTTATCGATAATCTACAAAGCAAACCATCATTATACAATAACTTGTCTAATTACCCTAACCTGCCTAGTTAACCTTATTAACCTAGTTAAGCCTTTAAATGTCACTTTAAGCTAAGCTAAAAAATAAACAGTGGCGCTAATAATTCAAGGGGGGGGGGCTAATAATTCTGACTTCAACTATACAATCGCGGCCTCTTTTTATGTTCATTAAATCTCAAGAAAATTCAGCTTTTTAGTCAGTAAACGTCAGATATTTGATATTTGATTTAATATTTAGGGAACCCTGGTCAAATTTAATACATTTTTCATTTAATTGATAAATCATTATTTTAATGTATTGGTGGTCCTATTTTGTAGCAATGGAAGCTGCTATCTGCTAATGTTTGTGTGAAATATGTGCCCAACATGTTTTTGATAGGCTTCGT